ATAACATAAAAATAATAATTACAATGTTTATTAAAAATGCATTATCTTAATTATTATATTTTTATATATTACATTTATATATTACACTTTAAAAAATATTATCTATGCATGTAATGCATGCTGTACGTTTAGATGACAATTAGCATTGAATTAAGCTTTTAACACATTATTCAGAACGGAATAATTTTCTATTGCGTGACGTCATGTTATACTGCTTTAAAAGATACCGTTCTGCAAATTATTAGTCATTTAAGATAAGGGAATTCTAATTACATATATCCTTATTAATAATTTTATTTAATTTTTTTATGTTTTTTAATAAAAATAAACATTTCTTTTCTTCCGTCTACTGATGTAATGAAAGCTTAGTTCAAGATAAGACCAAGACATTAGAGAGCAATCCAAAAGAACAATCCACTATTAAAGTGGACTATTTTATGTAATTTTTCGTTGCGTAGCCAGCGGACTAAGACTTTACAGTTAGATCTGCGTTTTATCGTGATGCGTAAGAGAAACGCAGCGAACGCTAAGGACATAGAACCTTGAGAATTTCCTCGCTCATTGTGATTCGCAAGAGAAAATAAGGTCTCGTATGCGCTCTTCCTGGCATATCAGAACAGAATTTCCCACACTGTCATGGCCCAGTTTTGCAGGAACACACCTTTCGAAGAAAAATTCTTGGATGCTTTAGATTGAATAAAATAGCATGAAAATGTTTGAAATTTAATTTTTTAGAAAGTTTAATACTTTTTTAACATTATTGCATAATCGCTTCATCACATTAAAAATGTGAATTAAAAATTTATATATTTATCATATATTTATACATATTATATATATATATATATATATATATATATTTATTTATTTATTTATATATTTATGTATATGACAAAAATCTATAATTTATATGTATTGATTAAAATATAAAGAGTTAAATAATCAATACCAATAATAATACTTATAGTAATAATTTAATAATAAAGTTTTTATTTAAAAATCCAATTACATTAAATAACATGTTCATACATCATATAATATTAAATTACATGTTTAATAGAATTTTTAAAATATTTTTTATGTAGCATTCATTGTAACAATTAATATAAATTAAAATAATGCAGAGCGAAGAATTTTATATTGTATTATAAGAAAAGGAAAACATTTCTTGAAAAAAAAAAATGTTGAGATAGAAATATATAAGGAAAAAAATGTTATATTATAATATATAACAAGATTACAGATTTTAATGACATATAAGAATCGTCTATAAAAGATTATTGAATCTTCCATAACAGTGTGATCAGTCCCGAGACTATTATTGTGACAATTGATACTGTGTTGCTGGTGGAAGCGTTACATAAATCTGTACTGCATTCGTGAATGCATTTTTTAAAAATTGACTTGCATTGTCCAGCAATAAAACAACGTCGTCCGATGGCAGTAGTGTTCTTTACATCTAAAAAAAAACAAATTTTACTTTTCTAATAAATCTATAAAAATCTGTAAAAATAATATATAAATATAATGTACTTTTAAAAATTCTATTGTTTAAGTTATAGGGAGCATTTTTATATAATTGTTAACACTTCAAAAAATAGCTTAAAACTGTTATATTTGAATGTTTCTGCAAATTATTGATGAAAAAGATTGAAAAAAACTGGAATATTATAAAAAAATTGTGATAAGTTTTCTTAAAATAATGTATTAGAAGAATTGATAAATTTTTCTCATCTTAATGATAGCAGATCATTAAAAATAAAGCAGAAGATTTCTTTTTACAACTTGCATTTTAAGGAACATTACTTGTGTAAGTTATTTTTAATGTAAAATCTAACGTTAAGTCTAAGGTATGTATTTTTTAATTTTGGCTACCTACCATATTCATATGTTATACAATTATTTTTTAAGACAGGATCATAACACTCTTCCGTTTCGTTTTTGGTCGGTGCTTTTTCGCAAGTTTTGCTTGTCTCCGACGTACATTTATAACATTTGATTGCGTCACCTTAAGAACAAACAAAATTACAACGAATAAAAAATGGGAAATGATATAGACATCGCTAAAAAGGTTTTAAAATATTTTTAAAGATTGTTAAAATTTTTAAAGAATAATAAAAAAATCGTCAAAGAAATTATCGAAAATTTACATCTTTTGTACCTGAATGAATAATTAATAATACAACCAATATGGTTATCACAAAAAGACGATGAAGACCCTGCATTTTTGCTGCACCTCTATTTGAGTCACGTCGAATCAAAAACTGCACGATATCGATGTCGAAAATCCGACTACACCTTGCGGAACTTTTAGCGAATATATCCGTTTCGGTATCGAAGCGGTCTATGATTAACTATGAAATCAGTATCGTGATAAGTTATCATAACTGCACAAGATTATCGAACATGCGATTTCCGTTCAATTTTATCGTTTCGAAGACTGACGAAAACGTAAAAATATTTTATTAACAAATATCAATTTTTAACAGACGTGTAAATGAAATATAATAAGCACAATATTTGTTAAAAAATGAGAAATGCATTAGCTTAATTATTATATCTCTGTATGTTATATTACAATTTATTATTTATTGAAAATTTTTACAGAATTTAATCTTGTCAGTATAATATTAACAGTTTTGCAAACGTAATACAAGCAATAAAATATATTAATGTTTCTAATGAATTTTTCTTTATATTATATAATCATTAATAATACAAAACAATTTTGAAACAACATTTAGAAACGCATACTAATATTTGTATATAAATTACAATTCGCAATTTTTAAATAGTCTTTTTAATATTTATATAAAATTATAATTGTAGAATTTTTCACACATTACACATTATTATTATTGTAAATTTGTATTATTATTATTATTATAAAATTTTAATATTATTTAATAATAATTACGTAATTATCTTTTAATAAATAATATTTCTTAGATAAAAGTAAAGTTTGCTGAAATGCAAGACTCAAGTCCCGCAAATTTCGTCCTTGCTAACTCCCCGGTATTATCCATGTAAGCGTAACGCAATTCCGTTTACCGCACTTCCGGTAACGTCGTGTGTTATGGACGTCTTAAAGTGCAAATACATAGCTCAGTTGAGAGTGTTTAGCAGTAAAGTATGGGATCGCCTGAAGGTTCTTCAGTTGATCGAATGCGTATTTGTCCAAATTAAACAGACATAAAATATCAATGTTATTCCGGAAAAGTAGTATGATTGTATCGATAGACGATTAAGTATTAGAAAGAAACATCTCCTACATTATATTTAATTCCTAACAAATAAAAAAAAGTCGTGTTAATATATGTTATAATAAATTTATATATACTTTTTGCAAAAAAGAATAGAAGTTTTTTATTTATCTAATATCAAAATAAAAATTATTACAATACTTAATGTACTAGAAAAGATTTACTTTTACATCAAAAGATTTTTTTAATAACAATTGTATTAATTATTGCGAAACAAAATTGTGATTATAAATATATAATTCAAATACATTGAAATATTAAATTGTTAAAACTTAAAAAAGAAATTTATCATAATCTATTTTTAGAAACATATTGATATTCATCTTTGCTTATCGATAAGCAACATTTGAGATCACAAAAATAATTACATAAAGACATTCTCATTAGCTTTCCATATAAATGCTCATAAAGATGCAATCTGCAAATTTAAAAGTCTATTCATGCATAATTATGTGCTAAGTATTGACTGCTTCCTTGAAACCGTGTTAGGTCCATGATCATTATATCATGAAAAGTACATAGCCATACTATCTTTGCAATGCCCAATCCTTCCGATGTTTTTTTTCAAATATATTATATATAAAATATATTAAATATATTAAATATATTAAAATATATTAAATATATATTTAAAATTGCGACAAATGATTCGTAAGTTTAGATTAGATATTTTATAAATAATGATATAATAAAATGATATAATAAAATAGAGTAATATATAGATATAAAATATAACATAATAGAAAAAAGTTAAGATCTTTATAATATATAATACAATATAAATATATAATAACATATATAACATAGTATAAATATACATAGTATAATATAATACAATCATTAATCTCTATATTTTATTGCAAAAATATATCTTGTTTAATTTTTCATTGATGGATATAAGTTTCGTAAACTGCGATAACTACTCTATTCGTTTTGACATTATCGATTTTTCTTTTATTTCTTTTTTAATAAAAAACCTCGTCTATTTTATTTACAAAAATTTAATATAATGTGAATTCTTGTTAAAAGATTCTTATAAAAGATGCATTATATGATAAAATGACATCACAATATTTCAAATTTCAAAAAATTAAGAATCAGTAAAAATAAATACAGTAGACCATGTGAGTATAAGCCATGTCAAAGTTACCATATTAATTGATACTATATTAGCACTATTACATTCGTCTGAAGCACATTTCTTTTGTATTTCACATTTATCAATAGAATTTTCAGGACACGTAAAGCTGGAAAGAACACACTTACGCTCGATAGCTTCAGTCTTGTTACTGTATTCTAAAAAAATAATATTTATTATTATTTATGCAAAAGAATACTTATAATATATAAATTGTATATTGGAATACGCTATTGAAGTGATTATATGTGTAAATAATATATTAAAGTTTAATAATGTATGTATGCGTATGTACACATATATATAATTTTCATATAAGAATTGATAATTTCTTAAAATATATTGATAATAGAGATAGGATTTTTGTAAACTCTAATAATTAACTCAGGTAAATTTTTTCATATCTTTGAAAATATGTGACCAAGGAAAAAAGCTATATGTAATACTTTTATGAATACTATTTATACAAATAATATTATAGAAATAAAAAATTAAATCTATTTTAAATCTATATTTATTAAATACTTACTATATTTGATTATTGCACAATTCCATTCTTCTTCTGCATTTTCTTGAATATTCGGAAAAATGCTTCTTCGTAGTCTAGGGTGTACCACAGCTAAAAATAAAACATTTTGTAAATATGTAATATATAGTAATATATAGTAAGTATTTTGTTTTGGATTTGTATATGATAAAGAAACTTTATAAAATTTAAAAAATAATTAATACAAGAATTTATTTAAATTTTTATACATACACAAAATACATAATTTTGCAAAAGAAAAGAAAAGAAGCAAGAAAAAATATTAATTCTATTTTTTAATTGTTTTTACCATTCGGGTTTTTTTGCAGAAACGATGCTGCTTGAACAGGCATTATTGTGTCGGTCCGTGCTATGAAATCATTTGACGTCAAATCAGATAGTCTCGGATTGAGATTCGATATCGATGCGGTCAGTGTTGTTGGATTGTTTGACATTATGTCGACCGACATCATTGGATTGCTCGTTGGATTGGTCGATATCGTTGGATCAGTTGATGTCGTTGGATTTGTCGATGTTGCATCGGTCGATGTCGTTGGATCAGTCGACGTTGAATCGGTCGATGTCATCGGATCAGTCGATGTCGTTGGATTAGTTGACGTTTGATCAGTCGACATCGTCGATTCAGTCGACATTGTTGGATTGGTCGATATCGTTGAATCAGTTGATGTTGGATTTGTCGACGTTGGATCAGTCGATGTCGAGTCGGTCGATGTTGGCGGATCAGTCGATGTCGTCGGATTAGTCGACGTTTGATCAGTCGACATCGTTGGATCGCTCGATGTTGGATTGGTCGATATCGTTGGATTAATTGATGTCGTTGGATTTGTCGACATCGGGTCAGTTGATATTGTCGAATCAGTCGACGTTGGGCCGGTTGATGTCGAATCAGTCGATATCGTCGAATCAGTCCATATTGATGAAGTGGTTGATGTAATAGTTGGTAATAAGGTTGTCGTCGTCGGATTGGTTGGTGTTGAGATTGATGATGTAATAGTCGACGTAATAGTTGACGTCGACGTAGTGTTCGACGCCGGAGTGGTTGTCGATGTAGTGGTCGACGCCGGAGTGGTTGTCGACGTAGTGTTCGACGCCGGAGTGGTTGTCGACGTAGTAGTTGTCGACGTAGTGTTCGACGCCGGAGTGGTTGTCGACGTAGTAGTTGTCGACGTAGTGTTCGACGCCGGAGTGGTTGTCGACGTAGTAGTTGTCGACGTAATAGTTGTCGATGTAGTAGTTGTCGACATAGTGGTTGTCGATGTAGTAGTTGGTGGAACAGTTGATGAAGGTAATTTACACTCTACAATCAATGAATCTGATAGTGGTCCATTTGCACAATTCTCATTTTCTAGCGAATTGCACTGGTAACATTTCAATGCGTCTCCTTTAAAAAAATAAAATAATAAATTAATAAAAATTCTTTCTTATGTAAAATTAATTTATATTATTTTAATAAAAAATGACAGTTCTATTAATTATATCATTGCTGCATTGGCAATATCTTTTATTTTATTAGTTTTCATATTAGGTATATAGTAATAGATGATGATTGATAATCATGAAATAAATTTTATAATAAAAGAATATTACATAAATGATAGATTTTTATGTTATAAATATACATGTGTCATGACGTTTTTAACTGTTACTAAATACTAGAAGTTATAAATATATAAAATTCTTATTACAATTGTCAAGACTTTCACTCATTCTCAAATATTAAAAATTATTTTTAAATATTAAGTAATAATATGTCAAATAATAAGATAGATAAAAACAATTTTTTACAGATTTATCATCAATTTTTTTAAAGCTCTAGACCATGTAAGCAAGCGAACGCAAATGAACTAATGCAAACATCAAAATTAGAACAATTGCATCGTTTGTACTTACTGAAGCGAGTATACTCATGCTCGCTTATTTAATCTGGTTTCAACTTTACATAAAGTTGAAAAAACGCGTTTATGCTTGCTGATTTTTTAATATGAAATTGGAAACACACACTATTTGACACTTAGCGATTCTCCATTAATTACAAAATTGCTAATGCAATCGAATAAATTATTAAGAATTTATATCGCATACCTGAGTAAAGAATAGCGAATGCAATTACTAAGATAGTGCTCACAAAGGAATAACTTTTCTTCGCCATCCTTGATGTGACTTGAAATACTTCAAACTAAGAAATGCCGTGATACTTGGAGAAATCTGGATACACTTTGTAACGTTATCATCGTTATTCACTACACAGGTGATTGCGATAAATGCTTAGATTATCAAGCTCCAACAATATTATCATTTCCGAGACGTGATTAAGATGCGAAAAATAAATTATCAGGGATTTGTCCTTAATACTTTGGTGCAATTATGCTTTTTGTTACGCGACGAAGAAATACTAGAAAAATATATCATTAATAATTCGATCTTTCATAGACACAAGTAAAATGTCATCATACATATTAAAAACATATTAAAAACAAAAAATGCATGAGCTTAATTATTACTTTCTCAATATTTGCGCAAGTTTTATTAAGACTCAGTAACAAACAATTTTCTTTAAGAAGATTTTCTTTTAAGAAATATTCTTATCGTATATAGTAGAAATTTTTAAAGAATTATCAAACAGAATTATCAAAAGAATTATTAATGAGATTGATTGTTATACGATAACGTTAATAATAAAATATATTCTATTGTATTTAGAAGTATTTTTTATTTAAAAGGATAATTGTTAAATACTTTAACTTCGTCCAGTTTTAATAATTCTTTGCTAATATTTAAGCTAATTTTATTATTGCAATATGTAAATAAATACATAAATAAATAAATAAATAATATATATATATATATATATATATATTTATGTGTTTTATTTGTGCAATGAAAAAGATTGTTAAATATTCCTTAAATATTAGCAAAGA